TGATTACAATATACAGCTTCACAACCATCTCAACAATCACCATCGTGCATTAAAAAATAAAAAAAAAACTTCATCAGCACTAAACCTTTAAAAAACATAAATAATTGCTTTTGTGATAAAAACCAATTTTTCACATTAAAAATAAATAAAAGGACATTACCTTCAAAATATTTTGATATGTTTTCTACACTAGACATGCTGTTGGCGCAATCTAGACTTATCTCTCCTTTACTGACCATAATGTCACATTCAGGCTTAAAATGTGTTAAAGAATTTCCCATTTTATACCTGTAAATGAATTAGGTAAATAACTTCAAAGCAAATATTTATATAATTGTAATTGGACTGCTAACCCGTAAGTCTCGAGTTCGAATCCGGGTTCAAGTAAGTAGACCGCCCCTGAGTCTACCCAAAACTAATGGGTACCTAATTCACGTTAGGGAAAATAAAGGCGAAAGGGTTTAGTGCTGACCACACTATACCTACATATGACGAGGTCACAGAAACAAGTGAACTCTATTTCACTTGCCACATAGACCGTCAGATTTGAAAGGGAACTTTACTTACTTACTGAATGGAATAGTTTACATTTAAATACATAGTTTATCAATAAAATAACTGTTTTGCTTTTATTTTAATAAATAAAAGAAAAATAGTCAACGATTACATAAATAAAAATATGCACAGTGAAAAACTTTAAGTGAATACTAGAGTACCCGTTATCCTTGGGTTTCTGGGGTGTCCATAAATGATATCACGTTTTTTTTGACGATTTTCATCTTTCCCCCCCCCCCCTCCTACACAATTTCACTCATTGTCACTAAAAGCTAGACCCCACATTAAAAAAGACATAACTCAACATGTTTTTGTCATTTAAAACACTGATTTCGGCTGAGCTGTATTCTGACCACATTATCATTTTACATGCTGATGTCACATAAATTGTTGAACTCTCCTTTACCTAATCCGTGTCCCGCCAAGTCCCGAAAGGCAACTTTATAATTTACACCTGAACTTACATGTTTAGTCTTTTAGAAATATCGATTTCTTACAATAATATTTTATAAGTTCATACCTCATTTAAAAAATAAAGCAATCAATTATAAAGCTAACGTCAAACTAATAATAATGAATTAGAACAAATTCCGTGCGTTGCGATTTCTCACTGCATATTCTATAAGGGACAATAAAAGAAAAAACAACATTGACCATTGGGTGAAAATATATTGGGTTATTTTACTTAAAGACAGCATATAAGAAAGTTAAATTCCAATTTCATTGCTAAACAAACTAAGATTTATATAAAATAAGTCAGGCCTGAAAAAAGTTTAAAAAAGAAACCTCATTATTGACCTAGATTCTAGATCTAAAATCTAGTATCTAGGGCTAGATCTAGCTCTAGCTCTACACTTACGGACAGACGACATATGGCTTATATCTAGTTTATCATTAGCTCAAGATAAGTTCCTTATATTCTCGAATTAGATGGTACGTGAAGGTAAAAAGCACAGGTTTATATAAAAAACTAGCTGTTTCCCGTGCTCGGTCACGGTGACTCTTTTTTTAAAATGTGCCAACTTAAGAACACAACAGAACAGAACAGAACACAAACACAAACACAAACACAAACACAACTCAACACAACACAAACACAACACAACACATACACAACAAAAACACAAACACAACACAACACAAACACAACACAAACAATCCACAAACACAACACAAACACAACACAAACAATCCATAAACACAACACAAACACAACACAAACACAACACAAACACAACACAAACACAACACAAACACAACACAAACACAACACAAACACAACACAAACACAATACAAACACAACACAAACACAACACAAACACAACACAAACACAACACAAACACAACACAAACACAACACAATCACAACACAAACACATACACAAACACAACACAAACACAACACAAACACAACACAAACACAACAACCCCCCCCACCCCAAAACAAAATATTATTGATATAGATACTATCTACTTTTATCATTGCCGACCCCCCCCCCCCCCCCGCTAACCCATCGAAAAAGACACTATTAACTTAGTGCCTGTTGTATTTTTCCATCAATGGGCCATTTATCTAATGCTACATGTATTTGCAGTAGTTTCTTACACGTGAAATTTAGGCCTATATATTTTAAATGTTAAACATGTTTGAGAAAATATTTTATAAAATAGTTATTGGTCAAATTACATTGTGCCTTACTATACGTTGAACGATATTAGTGACTAAGCAAAGACTGAAAAATCCCACCCATTTAAAATAAAATAGGTTACCAATACTTTTAGGAAAAACAAATGAAATACATTATTAGTTAACACAACACCAAATTAAATGCACACGCTGATTAAGAGAATTGAATGATTTGGTTAAAAACCCGGCTGTTCAATTGTAGTTATGTTTTTTTTTAAGTCATTTGTATTAGTTTAGGTCGAAAAAATTGTATAACGTTCATAGCGTACGTTTTGATAAGTAGATTTAAACCAAATTTGAATGAAAAAGTTTATTTCTTTATATTCTAAACTTGGAAGATGACGCCTTGGTTTTGTGTTCTTTCCGTAGTTTAAACATATGGCATGTAACGTATCCGGTTGCATGTGTCTCTACATTGGAATATGCCATTATTTTTATTCTTTTAAAAAAAAATTTAGTTTTAACATTTAAAACATCCACCGTATTATTTTCAACGACATTCCGTATCTTTAAGGTCTCCATATACAGCTGAACATGCTGATCATATAGTATAAAAATGTTGCAGACAGAGAGAGAGCGAGAGAGAGAGGGAGAGAGAGTAAATGAGAGAGAGAGAGAGAGAGAGAAGCGCACACACGATCTTTTATATATTAGACTTTTTATGAGCTTTTTTGCGGTATATTTCCACTTAAAATAATGTTGCGCCACCACAGTTTTAGTTCCCCAATGAATAAATAGATGACGCTGGTGTTAAGCAAAATTACCTTGATTTTCTTACAGTTTCTAATACTGTTGACTCTCTACAAGCTCCCTAATAAAAGTCAATAGTATTATCTAATCAATAGTAATATAACTTTTACTTCGGCGCCCCACGTTTTTCATCGCTTATAGTAGAGTGATCGCTTGCAGTATTGTGATGTATAGAATTTATTTTCTACTTTTTAGTTCAATCAGAAAACGTGGGTTTTTTAAAACTTTTTTAATGATAATTATTACTTTTGTTACCGCAATGTATTCCCCACACCTCATGACAAAGACAAACTCAAAAATAACAAAAAGCATCACAACAAAAAACAGTCACGATCTTACAATATAAACACAGTACTTACACATTTTACTGATTCCGAAACACCACCCCTCCCGTTTAATCAGTTTTAAATAATCACTCACACAGCAACTATTCCTGAGAAGGAAAAACATTTGTAAAATAAAAGGGAGAAAACTGCTTATATATTCTATCTCCATAAGTCGGTTATGTCCCTTATCAAGTATACGTCTAAAAGAGACAATTAATTTTTGTCCACATAACGGGACAAAATCCGGGAAAAATTCACCCCTACTCCACCCTTCTTTAAACAGATTTCTAGTAGCCCGGTTACTAACATTGTATTATTTTTCCACATCTTGCTCATATCATGATTTTGATGTTTATTCCTCTCTCATTATCGGTGTTTCTTCCAGACTTTTTTCTCGGTGGGGGGGGGGGGGGGCTTTTGAGTAAAAATGTATGTTTACTATATAAAATCCATCTCGTTCGAAGAGATGCCTGGAAGAAACTCTGTTCCTTGTTAATAAAATACAACTCTTATATGGCATTTTTAAACTCGTTTCCCTACCTTATATGTGAATATATTGCTCATATCGAAATAAAATATTCATTTCGTTCTTATTATAAATACCTCACAATTTGTCACTTGTCATTAATTGACAGTGTTAAAATAATTTTTTTTCGTATGTAAATATGAAAATATTATTTATGTTATTATTTTTAAATGGATAATAAAAGTATTTTTTTTTTAAATTGTCAAAAATACGTCTTTGTTTTGTAATTTTGCTTCAATTGGGATATTGGAGTCAACGACATGGGAATAGAGTGTTTAGGGTCTGACCCTAAAATTGGTTGGGGTCACTGTCTGGTGTTTAGGGTCTGACCTTGGTATTGGTGGGGGTCACCGACTATGGTTTAGGGGTTGACCCTGAGATTGGTGGGGGTCAGCAACTGGGGTTAAGGGTCTGACCTTGATATTGGTGGGGGTCACCGACCTGGTTTAAGTGTGTTTAGGGGTTGACCCTGAGATTGGTGTGGGTCCCCGACTAGTGTTAATTAAGTGTGTCTAGGGGTTGACCCTAATATTGGTGGGGATCACCAACTGGGGTTAAGTGTGTCTAAGGGCTGACCCTAATATTGGTGGGGATCACCAACTGGGGTTAAGTGTGTCTAAGGGCTTACCCTAATATTGGTGGGGATCACCAACTGGGGTTAAGTGTGTCTAGGGGCTGACCCTAATATTGGTGGGGGTCATCAACTGGGGTTAAGTGTGTTTAGAGGCTGACGCTGAAATAAAACACCTAAAACATTCAGTTTTACAGTACCATTGTGGCACACCTTATGTGCAGTCAATTGAAGCCACTAGCTACACAGGTACATTGGCTTTCCCGCGCTATCTAACAATCTGGTGATGGCAATCTCGTATCGAACGATGATGTTGTCAACAATATTTTACGCCGACAACCATTACGATGTCAACGGGCTGTAAGTTGGCTTTGTGTAATATGACAAAGTGTGAGATGACTAAGTGTAAGCTGATGTATTGTAAGATGACTAATGATGACTAGATGTAAACGATTAAGTGTAAGAGTACTAAATGTAAGATGACTAGGTGTAACATGACTACGTGTAAGATGACTAAGTGTAAGATGATTAGGTGCAAGATGATTAGACGTAAGATGACTAAGTGTAAGATAGTTAGGTGTAAGATGACTAAGTGTAAGAAGACTGGGTGTAAGATGACTCAGTGTAAGATGACAAAGTGTAATATGACGAAGTGTAAGATCACTAAGTGTAAGTTGATTAAGTGTAATATGACTTGATGTAAGATGAGCTATACATGATTATGCTAACGATCACTGTTATGTCTAAATGGTATAAGATAATTTATGGCTCTTAAAAAATTGTTGTTGCCTGGTTAGGTTAATGTTCCCTTGAAACTGAACTTGTTTCAGTCAAATAAACAATACAAAACTTTATACAAAAACGACTTTTTTCCATTAAACATTAAATCGAAAAGAAAAGCTTCGGTCGTTCAAACCGTTCCACGTTTTGATATGGTGGTCTTTATTTTAGATATGTTGATCAAACTAGCGATACACGTGGCGTGGTACATTAGCCTGACAGTTTTGTTTGTGTGGGTTCAAGTATTCAAGCGTGACTTGATCCAGACTAGATACAGCCGAAGTGGCATTTGATGCAGTTGTTCGACGTTAAGGAATGACACAACAAACTATGAAAACCAATTATATATTAATTTATCGACAAAAAAAATTTATGATCAGCCTTTAAATGATCGAAGCGTTGTGTGTACAATACGCCTTTGAAAGAACTATGCAGTGCTATCCTGATTATATGCAGCAACAAGTGTTTCACAAATTGCGTTTTATCATAAATAATAAACGCCTTTCTATGAAACAGTTTTTGATTTAATGATTGGTGTTTTATATTTTAGTGTTAGTGTTTTCTTTCTGAATGTTTAGATTTAGAATAGATCGTTATTTTTACATTTTATGACGTCTGATGTTTGGTGCTAATGTAACTAGTCGTCTTGTAGCGTAAAGCCAAACACAATGGTGATAGATGACGACTTGTACAGTAAAAATTGTGCAGCTGAAATGCTTCACTCTTTACATTAAGCATTTTTACGTTAGAGAAATATCGCATCAGTGGTGCATTTCTCAATGAATAATCAATGTGTTTTTTATATTGCTTTAATGAACGTTGAGTTGTGTAAAAGACCAAGACATCCACGCATGGGTGCACACAAACAAGTCAGGTAAAACTAAAATAAATGAACCGTGTAAAAGTAATTTAAAATGTAATCTTTTCAGATATCAATAGAACAAATGACGTATGACTTCTACACTTGATTCTTATGCTTTAGAAAGTTATGTTACATTTTACAGCACGTTATAGATTCTTGCAAAAGTTACGTTTATATTGTTATGTTTTGTTAGATTTTTTCATTCAAAATCATCAGGTGCATTTATCTTTGTATGTTACCTATTTAGCTATGCATCTGGAAAGTGCTATGTCATTTACCGTTCCTTATGTTAATGTAACATATAGGGCAGACCTTTGCTTCTGGCAATGAAGTGAACTTCACAAAGGTAGCCATACGTACATGACAACACTCATGTAACTTTATATGTTGAAAAACAAATATAAAAACCTGTAAAAGTACAAACTTTTATAAATTCACTGAAAACAAGAAAATATAAATAATTTTCTATCATTCGTAAAAGCTTTTGTCTCTCATGAGAATTCATATTGACTATAGGCCTATAGTTCTAGAAACTATGTATCTTAAGGAAACTGACGTCAACTGTTTTCAATAGTTCTGGTTTAGTTTAGTCTTGTAACAGAGTCTGATATATGTTTGTCACGTGGTGTAGTATGTAGTGGTGTCGTCTTGTCGTCTCTTGTAGTGGTTGCATCATGCGGTCGTACCTGTTAACTACAACAACAGGTAATAACAAAAATTAATAAATCATTCAACCATGCAGAAGACGCAATCAGCAAGCCATAAAATTTTATCTAGATCAAACATGACCTGTAACGAGGTGATTCGTGACATTATAAATACCATATGAAATTTGTCTTTAAGAGAATGTAGGTTGTTATATTTGTCAGAACTTGTGAGTGTTTTTTTTTTAAAAACGGTTTGACAATTTTTTTCTGTTTTGTTCCAGATTGACTTGATTATAGTAGTGCCTTATTTTCTATTTTATAGGCTCGAAAGATTACTTTTGTGAATGTTTGTTTTTAGTTAGATCATTCGAAATGTAATTTAATATAATATTTAAAGATACGCTTTTAAATATGTAGAATTCGAAAATTATAATTTTATAAATAAAACTTCTGTATTGAAAAATCTAAATGTTGTTCAAATAATATGCATGTTGTTGTGAAGCATTTGCAGCAGAAAATATTTTAATCTGACGTAGGATGACTCATTGCCCGTGTTTAGTTGTAGTGTATTGGAATAGTTTTTATTGTCATAACTTGAAACTGTGGTCTGATGATGAAGAGGATTGTTGTGGTCTGATGCTGACAAACAGCCTTTGCTCATATAAGTTGTAAATAGTTGTTTTTTAAATGGTCTAGCAATATCGTTAACATGACTGTCTTTAAAAGTGAATCGATAAGAACATAAGATTTCACAAAGAAAATAAGCTGTGGCTAGAACTTATGTTATTCATTTATCCCCAAGAACCCTGATATTTAATGATTTATGCAAGAAAGAAAAGTGTTAGAACTAGCAAGAAGCTCTGATCTAATTAAATGTTTGAAATATATTTTTCATTTTTATAATTTTAACTTGTGCATAAGAAAATTGAACTCGTTTTTCTTTTATTTCGTTCGTGCTTTAATGTTATAAAGAGTAACATTGTGACAATTGTCGGGGTAACATGTAATGTAAATGTTACTTTGCTTTAGATATATAGCTAATTTTTATTTATCAATTGTAATTCTTGTGAATCTAATTTGGTCTCTCCCATGAATTATAAACATTTATTCCAAATAATGTCGTGATACGCCTATCTGGAAGTTTATTTTTTCAATATATCAATATAGAATTCCAAACTTGTACAGGTTAAACAGCTTAACACTGATTACACTATTGACAATCTAGAAACCTTTTTATTTTGATTGTGTCGTCCCGTTACTTTTTATCATAGTTGTTTTATTCCGTGGCTCTACTTAGTCTTTTGATTTTACTTTGTCCCGATGCTTTACTCTGTCCCGGGGCTCTACTCTGTCCCGTGGCTCTACTCTGTCCCGTGGCTCTACTCTGTCCCGTGGCTCTACTCTGTCCCGTGGCTCTACTCTGTCCCGTGGCTCTACTCTGTCCCGTGGCTCTACTCTGTCCCGTGGCTCTACTAAGTCCCGTGGCTCTACTCTGTCCTGTGGCTCTACTCTGTCCCGTGGCTCTACTCTGTCCCGTGGCTCTACTCTGTCCCGTGGCTCTTCTAAGTCCCGTGGCTCTACTCTGTCCTGTGGCTCTACTCTGTCCCGTGGCTCTACTAAGTCCCGTGGCTCTACTCTGTCCCGGGGCTCTACTCTGTCCCGTGGCTCTACTCTGTCCCGTGGCTCTACTCTGTCCCGTGGCTCTACTCTGTCCCGTGGCTCTACTCTGTCCCGTGGCTCTACTCTGTCCCGTGGCTCTACTCTGTCCCGTGGCTCTACTCTGTCCCGTGGCTCTACTCTGTCCCGTGGCTCTACTCTGTCCTGTGGCTCTACTCTGTCCTGTGGCTTTACTCTGTCCAGTGGCTCTGTCCCGTGGCTCTACTCTGTCCCGTGGCTCTACTCTGTCCCGTGGCTCTACTCTGTCACTTTGTTCTACTCTGTCCAATCGCTCTACTAGGTCCCGTGGCTCTACTCTGTCCCGTGGCTCTACTCTGTCCCGTGGCTCTACTCTGTCCCGTGGCTCTACTTTGTCCCGTGGCTCTACTATGTCCCGTGGCTCTACTCTGTCCCGTGGCTCTACTCTTTCCATTTGTTCTACTCTGTCCCGTGGCTCTACTCTGTCCCTTGGCTCTACTATGTCCCGTGGCTCTACTCTGTCCCGTGACTCTATTCTGTCCCGTGGCTCTACTCTGTCCCATGGCTCTACTCTGTCCCGTGGCTCTGTCCCGTGGCTCTACTCTGTCCCGTGACTCTATTCTGTCCCGTGGCTCTACTCTGTCCCGTGGCTCTACTCTGTCACGTGGCTCTGTCCCGTGGCTCTACTCTGTCCCGTGGCTCTACTATGTCCCGTGGCTCTACTCTGTCCCATGGCTCTACTCTGTCCCGTGGCTCTGTCCCGTGGCTCTACTCTGTCCCGTGGCTCTACTCTGTCCCGTGGCTCTACTCTGTCACGTGGCTCTGTCCCGTGGCTCTACTCTGTCCCGTGGCTCTACTCTGTCCCGTGGCTCTACTCTGTCCCGTGGCTCTACTATGTCCCGTGGCTCTACTCTGTCCCGTGGCTCTACTCTGTCCCGTGGCTCTACTCTGTCCCGTGGCTCTACTCTCTCCCGTGGCTCTACTCTGTCCCGTGGCTCTACTCTGTCCCGTGGCTCTACTCTGTCCCGTGGCTCTGTCCTGTGGCTCTGTCCCGTGGCTCTACTCTGTCCCGTGGCTCTACTCTGTCCCGTGGCTCTACTCTGTCCCGTGGCTCTGTCCCATGGCTCTATTCTGTCCCGTGGCTCTACTCTTTCCATTTGTTCTACTCTGTCCCGTGGCTCTACTCTGTCCCGTGGCTCTGTCCCGTGGCTCTACTCTGTCCCGTGGCTCTACTCTGTCCCGTGGCTCTACTCTGTCCCGTGGCTCTGTCCCATGGCTCTACTCTGTCCCGTGGCTCTACTCTGTCCCTTTGTTCTACTTTGTCCAGTCGCTCTACTATGTCCCTTTGTTCTACTCTGTCCATTCGCTCTACTCTGTCCTGTGGCTCTATTATGTCCCGTGGCTCTACTCTGTCCAGTGGCTCTACTCTTTCCATTTGTTCTACTCTATCCCGTGGCTCTACTCTGTCCCGTGGCTCTGTCCCGTGGCTCTACTCTGTCCCGTGGCTCTACTATGTCCCGTGGCTCTACTCTGTCCCGTGGCTCTATTCTGTCCCGTGGAACTACTATGTCCCGTGGCTCTACTCTGTCCCGTGGCTCTACTCTGTCCCGTGGCTCTACTCCGTCCCGTGGCTCTACTCTGTCCCGTGGCTCTGTCCGATGGCTCTGTCCCGTGGCTCTTCTCTGTCCCGTGGTTCTACTCTGTCCCGTGGCTCTACTCTGACCCGTGGCTCTACTCTGTCCCGTGGCTCTACTCTGTCCCGTGGCTCTACTCTGTCCCGTGGCTCTATTCTGTCCCGTGGCTCTGTCCGATGGCTCTGTCCCGTGGCTCTACTCTGTCCCGTGGCTCTACTCTGTCCCGTGGCTCTACTCAGTCCCATGGCTCTACTCTGTCCCGTGGCTCTACTCTGTCCCGTGGCTCTACTCTGTCCCGTGGCTCTACTCTGTCCCGTGGCTCTACTCTGTCCCGTGGCTCTATTATGTCCTGTGGCTCTACTCTGTCCCGTGGCTCTACTCTGTCCCGTGGCTCTATTATGTCCTGTGGCTCTACTCTGTCCCGTGGCTCTACTCTGTCCCGTGGCTCTACTCTGACCCTTGGCTCTACTCTGTCCCGTGGCTCTACTCTGTCACGTGGCGCTACTCTGTCCCGTGGCTCTACTCTGTCCCGTGGCTCTATTATGTCCTGTGGCTCTACTCTGTCCCGTGGCTCTACTCTGACCCTTGGCTCTACTCTGTCCCGTGGCTCTATTATGTCCTGTGGCTCTACTCTGTCCCGTGGCTCTACTCTGACCCTTGGATCTACTCTGTCCCGTAGCTTTACTTTGCCCTGTGGCTCAATATTTATTTTGATTAAATATTGTATCGCGTTAACCAGAAGAGGATAAAAGTAGAAATCACAATAAAATATTGTAGCTGTTAAAGTTCCTGCAGGTAACGGCACCAGATCGCTGATATATCATCAGATTATTAAAGTAGTTTAGACAAATCTTGTATATTAGTATGTTATGTTGTCTAAATGATATTTTGTATAATAATAATGTGTGTATCTTTTTTTCAGCAAACAGCTATACGACACTTCAGAAGCCAATATTGTGTATACCGTAAAGCTGTTGCACAAATATGTGGACCTTAATTGTCATTATTATCCAGTGTATCATCACACAAGGTTAGTTAGAATTACTACAATAAGTAAGTTGTTCATCAAATTAGGTTTGTGCGAGCGAGGTAGAAGTAGTCATGGTCAGAGTTTCTTCCATGTATCTCTTTGGGGGTGGGGTGGGAGAAGAAAGTCTATTCCCCCCCCCCCCCACAACGAAATGGTATTTATATAGAAATGACATACTTTTACCAGTGTCACAACCCCCCCATCCGATAATATCAAGTGCCACCCCCCCCCCCTAAAACCGGACAAAATATGTCTGAAAAAATATTTGGGGAGGTGGGGGGTGGGGTAATGCTGCAAAATGTATACTTTATTGTATGAGTTTGATAGTATCTCAGTCAGAGTTTCTTCCAGGCATCTCTTCGGGGGGGCTTAGCCCCCCCGAAAATTTTTTACCGCCCCCCCCCCCGAACGAAATGAAATTTATATAATTTATATAGAAAATATATACTTTTAACAGTGTCCGCCCCCCCCCCTCGAAGAAAGTTTACCGCCCCCCGCCCCCCCCCCCCCCCGAAAATTTCAAGTGCCCCCCCCCCCCCCGGAGAAAAAAGTCTGGAAGAAACACTGATCTCAGTGCGAAAGAATTTGTGTGTAAATAAATAAATAGCTATAAATGGAATAACATAGCTGAAGAAAAAGGAATGTAAGTGAAGGATTTGTGTAGAATCTTTATTCTCTTGAAATAAAGTTCACTACTGTCTAGGCTATGTAACGATAGGTAGTTTGTTCGTCTAGACTCTATGCAATTGTAATGATAAGTAGCCTAGTTCATGCCAATGAATAGAAATGTAGTCTTGTTAAACCCATAGTAAAAAAAAAGTTCGCGTCTAGTCTATTGAAAGATAATGAAGCGTTTGTGTATAACTGATCCAGCAACAGAAGTACGCCCAGCAACATTTTACTTCTCTAACTAGGAGGTAGCTACTAACATAAGGACGTTAAATAATGAGACATGTAGGGTCTTAAGTATAGGAATAGAACTCCGACCTCCTGGATAAGTGACAGTGTGCTAAACGACCCAACCACGTCTTTACAACTTAACGATTAAATTTTCGAAAATTGAATATATATTTCTTCACTTACAGTCAAGACAACGAACCCAATAAAACAAACCCAGTATAAAGCTGTTGATGACATAAACTTGACCACGCTTCCCATCAATGTAGAGTTTGACCAAGTCAGTCTTTTGTCCTGCGCCCATCTTTGTTCAAATTCCAACAAAACGTGCTACAGCTACATCTACAACAAAACCACAAGACATTGTAGCCTGGGTAAGTTCACATGTTTTAAGTTTTTGAAATCATTTTCTTAGAATCACATGTATGAAACTGATATACAGATCATACCGTGTTGTAAAATGCAACATTATTCTAGAAAGATTTTTGTGATAAGAATGACATATACTTAAAGAGGCAGAATTAACTTTAAATTATATAAAATTTTACAGTCACTGTCTTACCCAGTTGTAACCAAAACAAATAGTCACATAAACATTAGGATAAAAAGGGCAAACATCAAACTATTCCCATGCTTTACTTTAAGTTGTCTTAAAAGCTCATTGGAATAGTCAAATAAAGGGCTCCTAACACTCATGTAAATAGTCGACTAAGAGCCCCATACATCAACTTTGATATTCCAAAGCTGTGCATATATTCTAGTAAAATAATAATTGAATATAGGGCCAAACACATTTTAAATAGTCTAATGGTTGCGTGCGAACTTTTTCATTAAAGGTAAATAAAATTTGCAAGTAATCAAAGATTGGGGGGGGGGGGGGAGGGGAGGTAAGAATTTGTTTTTAAACAAGCTTTTGGGAAGAACTTTTAATGTATCAGCTTTAAAATAAAAAAAAGCAAGCTCAATTTTAAGCACTATGGGTCGACTAGGCAATACGACGCTTTTAAAAGAGAAACAAGAGAAATCTATGAAGAAGTTTTGAAAATTTAGTAAGGCAGTTTAATGAAAAAAAAATTACTATTTAAAAATCAATGTTTAGCCAGCAGGAAACCACAACCAGATTTCGGGTGTTGTTTTTTACTATTTTTTATAATTTCAAGCCCTTAATATTTGCCGTATGCTGATTTGTCTTGTAATGTATATAATTTAAAAATAGGTTCAGTTACAAAACGATTAAAGACACGTCTAATTCGATTTAGTAAATGACTATAGTAATCTATCGTATCCATAGGCCATAGCACTCTTTAAAACGAACGTTTGCACCATAGCGTACGCGTGGAAGCACTGGGCGCCAAATGGCACCCTTCCGGGATTCCTACCTTGCGAAATTTATAGACGCTAAGAAGTAAAGTTCACATTCAAGTTGATCTATGTGGCCTATGTTGACAACACAAAAACAGAATTCCGAAAATATACTTTCATTTAACCTAAAATGTGTAGGCTATGTTTGTAGTTGAGCGCTTTACTGTTCGACCTATACACAACAAAACTGAATTCTTTTTCTCTGATATTTAACACAGACGTTTAATGACAAAACTAAAGCATACCCACATTGTAAAAACAGCCTTTGATAGGGATCGCCCATAAATGACGCCATACTCTTAGGGAAGGGGTTCCGTAATTTTTTGACAGTGTGTGATAAGGGGGTAGGTGGTTCATATGTGTGACGTCACACTTTTGTATTATAAAAAAGTAATGTTTGAAAACGAATTTTAGCCGTTATTTCGCGTTTTAGAAAACTGTTTCAATAAATTGGAATTGGAATTGATTAAAATACTATATGTTGATAAAGATCAGACAAGATTTTCGAAAAGTATAGTATTTTGAGACAAATTCAACTGCAATTTTGATCGGGGTTTGTAGGCTGAGGTGTGATTTCATTATAGGGTGGGGGGGTCTGGCTTTTTGAGACGATTTGTGACGGAGGGGAAGGGGGCAGGTAAAAATAGTTTTAAAAAAGCGTGTCTTCACTTATGGATGACTCCTTACGACGTATTCTTTCTAAACAGTATAGGGTTTTTCATTTTGAAATCTTTGATTAGATGTCCAAGTATTTCCAACTAATCGCCCACAATCTTTTTCAGTCAAAACTAATTTGAGTTTCTTCATAAGAAAAATAATTTGTAAAATGACCTGTCTGCTATTTCGGCCAAGTATCAAGTATTTGGACGATGATAATGTGTTTTAGACCATCTGGATGTCATATTATGATGAACATTTACCTACAGATTTTAACAAAATAAAATCTGTAAATGACGAAATTATTTTTGTAATATACTTTATATACTTGATTTTGGTTTCATGTAACAGGTTCTTGGCTAGTCCCACTGAAAGCTTCACAACAAAAAGTTCAGGGAAAAATTTTCTCAAGTGGCAAGTTTTGTAACACAACCAGAAACATCACGGTCCTGTCTGATGGTTCCATCTCATATACAGACTTCTTGTTTTGCACAGGTGATGTAAAAAGTAGTGTTATATATCACGTGTTTTTATATGATAAAAAAATGTGTGCAAGCATATTATAATTTGATAAATAATATGATATTTTAATTTTTCAAAAATGTATCTTAATTAGCGTTACATAACATGTTACAAATATCCACAATGTGTGCTCATATTATTCATCTATTTGATTGTGGTGACCAGACCCCCAACAACGTCACTGTTAGTTCCAATACTTTGCTGTTAAATCTGTATACTACTAAAACTCTAGTTGTTTACATGTTTGTATATATAATTCTTTTTTTGCTCGTCTGTTTGGTTACAGGAGAGAATTTGCACTGTGTATAGAGCTGAAAAATAGGTATTTAGGTAGAGAATAATGTAATTTTTTTACCAAAATGACAATAACAAATTCATTTAAAGACGTTAAAAAATTTAATAATATATTCATTGGTAGTTAAACCACTTAAATTATAAACATCAGAACAAACGCATTGTTTTCTCAAAAACTGAAAAACTTTCAACGGCTTAGTGACGTCGCTTGATGTTAAGATCAAACAAAAAATAGTTTTACAGAAAAATACATGGACTTACAGTGACGACTGTTGAAATGTATATGTATAATGGCAACTTATACCGAAAAACGAACTGGCCAAAATAAAATTATTAGTTAAAACGTGAAAACAAAATCATAATTAGCTAAAAAGAAAAACATACAACAATAAGTAATACACAATAAACCAAATTCAATTAATAAAAGTCTTTATTAAACTATTAGCAAATATTACAGATCTTATAATTAGAGAATGCAATGAATGTATCAAGATCTAGATCTAGATTCTAGATTTAAAATCTAGATCTAGAGCTACGGAAAAAACTACTCTTAAGCCAGCAGTAGCTTCTAAATATGGATCTGGCCTCTCTAGTTCTGGAATCTCTGCCAATAATGAGTAACTACACTAAACTATTTCAGGCGTTAATTATTTTATATAAATCTTTCTTTGTTCAGCTGTGGAACTGGATAATTTGGGATATAATTTAATTTGAAAAAAATGCCCTATTCTCGTAATTCAACTTTCCTACGCGGACTCTCTATTAAAACTATTCCACTACTTTTGCACCTAATCGGAAAATATTTTTTTTATATTAAAGATGTCAATTATAAATTTGCCTATTGGGACTTTGCGGGACACGGGCAGGTGAAGTAGAGTTCACATGTTTCTGTGTTCTCCGCATACGAATAGATAGTGTTGTCAGAAACATGCTCCGCCGAAATCAATGTTTTTAAGACATTAACATGTTGCCTGAGGCGTGACGTCTTTTTGAATGTGGGGTCTGACTTTTTGTTAAGATATGTGACAGTGGGAAGGGACGGGGAAAGATAAAAATCATAAAATAAACAAGACGTCATTTAATGGATGATCCCCGAAACACACGTTTATTAAAAAATTAAGTGTAGTCTTGCAGACACTAAAACTGGTATCGTACTTATTCATTTATTAGGTCAGCGCGATCTATGCTTAGGAGTAGACAGCAGTAACTCTCGGCAATTGGTGACTCTAAGCTCTGGACTTCAGGTCATGTGTGACACAGTGACAGACGGTGGAGGATGGACCATTTTCCAAAGACGTGTTTCTGGGACTGTAGATTTTTATAGGAACTGGACGGAATACAAAAATGGGTTTGGTGATTTCAGTTCGGGTAATTTTTACCTGGGCAATGAAAACATTTATCTATTAACGTATACAAACGCAACAGAACTGAGAGTAGATATGGTCTTTGATGGAACAAATTATTTCGCCAAGTATTCCAGGTTTACCATTTCTAGCGAGGAAGACGGCTACAGGCTATATGTTGGTGGCTACACAGGAAATGCTAACAATAGTCTAGGCTACCACAACGGTATGATGTTTTCAACGTTTGACCGCAAAAATGACGCTTGGAATTATAACTGTGTGGCTTACAGTCACGGAGGGTGGTGGTTTAGAGCTTGCCTGTACTGTTTCCTCAACGCCGTTTGGGGTACAGACAAATTAATGTGGTCATCCATGAAAAATGTGACAGTTAGTGAAATGAAATTTAGATCAACGTACCATAACTTTCCTGTTTAATTTTCTAAGAAATATATAGGCAATTGAAAGGTTTGTTATCTCATTTTATCGGTGTTATAATTTTATTATCTACCTTATTTTTTTAAATATGTAAGGTGTATATTGTTTGTGATCATACATTTATATGTTAAAAAGCTATCTTTTATTTTGAAAATCAGCACATTCCTGTTTTTTAGGTTTGAATTGTAAATCATTGGACGCCCAGTGCCGGCGTCAGGGTATTTAGCGCCCTAGGGCCTAGGCAAAACTTATTAAAAGCGCCCGACCCCCTCAATTTTTTTTTGCGCCTCCGTACTATCAGAGGCGTAGCGACCCTTCCCTGCGCTACGGGCAACTTTCTATTTGCACCCCCCCCCCCTCAAACTTTCGATTTGCTACCCCCCCCCCCTCAAACTATCGATTTGCACCCCCCTCCATTTTTAATTTGTTTTTCCAACCCATTTTGGCGCCCCCCTACGGACAGCACCCCCCTACGGACAGCGCCCTAGTCGACCGCCTAGTTCGCTTTAGAGGTAGCGCCGGCCCTGTGGACGCCATCAGATAAATAAATAAATATTCATTGTATAATGTTTTATAATCATTTCATTGATAGATCCAAAAGAACATTTAAAAAATTAATGAACGTTGCAACTACATTTAGGGCACATTTTTATCAACTATTTTTCTTATCAACCACTGTATTCACAAGTAAACAATTGTGTAAATAATGTTTATTTTGATATTTGTTTTGTTATATTATCAACACCATTAAATATTATGTGTCAACATAGTTTTTCAATCCTCGCCCTGTTGACCCGAAAATCACACCTGCTTGTCATTCTGGATTTACTTCTCTAGCCTTTTGACAGCCCAGGAAGAATCTGCAAGGGAGATTTTTTTATGATTGGAATTTCTTTACTTAATACAACCTTAATGTTCTTCTAATAACTTCTATACTTTAGCCAAGCTAGATGTTTTATAACTTCTATTCCTAAGTTAAACTTGATGTTTTATGACTTACATACTTTAACTAAACTTAATGTATTAAACTTCTAAGCTTTAAGTAAAGTTAATGATTTATAACAGGGGTCTCCAAACTTTTCAGCCCTAGGGCCGTTTTAACTATTAAATATTATTTCGGGGGCCAGAGTTCCTTACATGCATCTCTTTGGGGTGGCGGTGTCCCCCCCCCTGCCCCCCCCCCCTCCCCCAACGAAATATAATTTATATAGAAAAATATACACATTTAAATCCCCCCCCCCACTCCAGGAGAAAAAGTCTGAAAGAAACACTGTCGGGGGTCGAGAACACACTCGAGTTCCAAGTTTATTCTCCTTGGGCAAATACAAAAACCCACCCGCCATTTTTAAACTTGTCTCCGAGGAAGTCATTTGCTTTCAATTCAATGGACCTCCATCTGCAGTTTATCTGGGGCAACTGGTTACAATTGCTTCAAATGAGTTTTGAAACAGTCTCACTTCTTCTGCCTTTGAATCCTAGTCAGAAAACTGCTACTGAAACTGCAGTTGAAGGTCCTTGATGATCTCGCATACAAATTATGTGGGGAACTCAGCTGTTGCTTCAGCCATGAAGACCTTGCACTGCTGAAAGTGCGTCAAGTTGTTGCCCTGTACTTGTTCCAAAAACATGGAACAGCTGTCCAGCGACTCATCCATTGCAATTGAAAAATTGCGAAACTTGTTTGCAATTTTCACTATTTGAGTGACAATGTTTTCGTCAATGTCTGCAACACTGCGGGCAATGGTATTTGCACGTAAAGATACATTTTCAAATTGTTTTGAATTTTCGGGGCAAGGTTCCTCAGCCACCTCTAACAATCATTTTTTTCCGTGAACAAATAGATCACCGCGGGCCGGATGAGAGGACCTCGCGGGCCGCAAACGGCCCGCGGGCCGTAGTTTGGAGACCCCTGATTTATAACAACTATACTTTCAATACACACTTTCTACTCTTAAAGAGATCGTGTAGTGAAGAAATGTAAAATTACACGGTAGGCCTACACATCAAATCAATTTATTAGAAAGGGGAATTTATACCATAAGCAACGAGAAGAAGCAAGATCAGATGCACTCAAATATTCAAATCTACCTAATCAATTATTTTTTAACCAAGAAAAATAAACAGAAATGTTTTTTTTTTAAACTGTGAACATATTTGTAGATTTCTCTAAATCAAAAGCCTATGATTTTATTATTCGTTTGTAGCTTAATGTAACAACTTAATTATTGCTACACGTAGCTGCACTTATTGCTTTACATAATAATAATGTTTTGAAATATTGTGTCATTTTAAAGGAAATGTAGCTTTCTCACTCATTTTTTCTTGATTATTAAAAACTTGTATTTGCAAATGTATTATATGTGTTTTATATCATGTTTACTTACTTCTTCATATTTTGTATAATATTGTGAAATAACTACATGTTTATGGACTATTTTGTGTTTATTTTTAATTTAGGCCTGCCTAGCACCTCATAATAAATGTATACATGCACAGCCACTTGTAGAAAACCTTAGTGTGATCCACTTTCTTATCATAAATTAACGTCTAAACTATGACACAGTGGGTTGAATAACTGGATGTTACGACATTAAAATATACATGTTTGCTCTCACCAAACATCTCTCATGTATAGCAAACAGTGTGGCTAAATACAACTACAAAATGGTAGTGAGGGTTAAAACAAATATTTTTTGAAAATATATGATTATTTTTTTTTATTAATAAGGAGCATTTTATCTGCTGTGTAAAACTTTGAAAACATATATTTTCTTTTTTACATTTCATTAAACACATTACTTGTAATAGGTGTTTTCTTTATAAACAAAAACAAATTAAATTGTTTTCTTCAATTGACAAAATGTTTTGGCTTTTGAAATCTAAATCAGTTATTTTGTAAAACTTTTTTTTTCTGATGACGAGAAACTCTAAAGTACAGAGCAACACACTAGGATCATGTTTAGGTGCTGACCCTCAGATTGGGGTCACTGACTGGGATTTAGTGTATTTAGGGTCTGACCCTGAGATTGGTTGGGGTCACTGACTGAGATTTAGTGTGTTTAGGGTCTGACCCTGAGTTTGGTGGGGGTCACTGACTGAGATTTAGTGTATTTAGGGTCTGACCCTGAGTTTGGTGGGGGTCACTGACTGAGATTTAGTGTGTTTAGGGTCTGACCCTGAGTTTGGTGGGGGTCACTGACTGAGATTTAGTGTATTTAGGGTCTGACCCTGAGTTTGGTGGGGGTCACTGACTGAGATTTAGTGTGTTTAGGGGCTGACGATGAGTTTGGTGGGGGTCACTGACTGGGGTTTAGTGTGTTTAGGGGCTGACGCTGAAATAAAACCCCTAAAACATTAAGTTTTACAATACCATTGTGGGACACCTTATGTGCAGTCAATCGAAGCCACTAGCTACACAGGTACATTGGCTTTACCGCGCTATCTAACAATCTGGTGATGGCAATCTCGTATCGAACGATGATGTTGCATACAATATTTGACGCCGATAACCACAACAATGTCACCGGGCTGTAAGTTGGCTTTGTGTAATATGACTAAGGGTGAGATGACTAAGTATAAGATGATTAAGTGTAATATGTCATGGAACCGACTAAGTGTAAGATGAGCTATACATGATTATGTTGACGATCACTGTTATGTATACATGGTGTAAGATAATGTATGGCTCTTAAATTGTTGATGCCATGTTTTGGTTATGTTTCGTTGAAACTGAACTTGCTTCAGTCAAATAAACAATACAAAACTCTATACAAAAACGACTACTTTCCTTTAATCATTAAATTGAAAACAAAAGCTTCGGTCGTTCAAACCGTTCCACATTTTGATATTGTGGTCTTTATTTTAGTTATCTTGATCAAACTAGCGATACACGTTGCGTGGTACATTAGCCTGACTATTTTGTTTGTATGGGTTCAAGTATTCAAACGTGACTTGATCCAGACTAGATACAGCCGAAGTGACATTTGTTGCAGTTGTCTGACATAAAGGGATGACACAACAAATTATGGAAACCAATTGGATATTAATGTATCGACAAAAATAATGTATGATCAGCCTTTAACTGATCGTTGCGTTTTGTGTACAAAATGTCAAACATAATGGTACTAGAAAACGACTTGTACAGTAAAAATTGTACTTGTAAAATGCTTCACTCTTTATATTAAGCATCTGTACGTTTGAGAAATATCGCATCAGTGGTGCCTTTCTAAATGAATAATCAATGTGTATTTTATATTGTTGTAGTAAACATTGAGTTGTGTAGAAGACCAAGATATCCACGCATGGGTGCACACCAACAAGACTGATAAAACTAATGAACCGTGTAAAATTAATTTAAAATGTAATCTTTTCAGATATCAATAGAATAAATGACGTATGACTTCTACACTTGATTCTTATGCTTTAGAAATTTATGTTACAGTTATAGATTCTTGCAAAAGTTACGTTTATGTTGTTATGCTTTGTTAGATTTTTTCTTTCAAAATCATCAGGTGCATTTATCTTTGTATGTTACCTATTTAGCTATGCATCTGGAAAGTGCTATGTCATTTACCGTTCCTTATGTTAATGTAACATAGGGCAGACCTTTGCTTCTGGCAATGAAGTGAACTTCACAAAGGTAGCCATACGTACATGACAACACTCATGTAACTTTATATGTTGAAAAACAAATATAAAAACCTCTAAAAGTACAAACTTTTATTAAATGCACTGAAAACAAGAAAATATAAATAATTTTCTATCATTCGTAAAAGCTTTAGTCTCTCATGAGAATTCATATTGACTATAGGCCTATATTTCTAGAAACTATATATCCTAAGGAAACTGACGTCAACTGTTTTCAATAGTTCTGGTTTAGTTTAGTCTTGTGACAGAGTCTAATATATGTTTGTCACGTGGTGTAGTATGTAGTAGTGTCGTCTTGTCGTCTCTTGTAGTGGTTGTATCGAGCGGTCGTACCTGTTAACTACAACAACAGGTAATAACAAAAATAATAAATCATTCAACCATGCAGAAGACGCCATCAGCAAGCCATAACATTTTATCTAGATCAAACATAACTTGTGACGGGGTGATTTGAGACATTATAACTACAATTGGCTATTTGTCTTTCTCTGCTGAGAAAACACCAGTGGTCACCCCCTATGGTCAAACCCCCTATGATCAAACCCCCTATGGTCAAAGGCCCGCTGTGGTCAAACCCCCTGTGGTCAAAGCCCCGCTGTGGTCAAACCCCCTGTGGTCAAATCCCCTATGGTCAAAGCTCCGCTGTGGTCAAACCCCTTATGGTCAAACCCCCTATGGTCAAAGCACCTGTGGTCCTAGGACCGACTCGTTGACCGTGTTAAGTTGTAGTGTATTGGAATAATTTTTATTGTCATAACTTGAATGTGTCGACTGATGCTGTAGAGGAGTGTTGTGGTCTGATGATGACAAACAGGTTTTACTCATATGAGTTGTAAATAGTCCCGTGGCTCTACTCTGTCCCGTGGCTCTACTCTATCTCGTGGCTCTACTCTTTACCGTTATTCGTCATAAAGACTTCAATAATGTTTTCAAAACATTCACACAAATACCAGCATCATTTTAATTATATTTTACAGTGCAACAATTGTGTTGGTTCCTTTGATCAGAGGGTCGCTTGGCCACACCTGCATATATACCAGGGGTCGGCAACCTGCGGCTCGCGAGCCGCATGCGGCTCTTTTGATGTCAAGTGGCGTCTCTCAAGTTCCATGCACAAATATTAGAAATTATTGTATCATTTTATTTTCAAATCCCATAACAAATTATATACAGTAAAGAAACAAAAGTTTAAACATAATAAAAACACGAATCAGCGAATGAGAATAGGTGGGAGTAGAGAGTATTCGGACGGCTGACAGTCGCTTGGGCACCAAGCCCAGCCCCACAGCCTTGCAATGCTTGCCACTTCCCGAGTGTCGACTTTTTCCAATATCGTTAAGTGGGGAATGTTATTTTATTCAAAATGCATTTCCCTATCTGTCAGTAATCGTAAATATGACCTGAGTGACGTAGTTTTTTTAGTTGTTAGCTTCCTACGGTTGAGCTAGGTACTGGACTGTGGGGCACGAGTTTACCCTAGGCTATGTGGGGTGGAAGATAAGCTAGGTGAGAACCAAAGGACAGAAGCGACCGATTCACGGTAATCAAACCGATATTTAAGCCAGTTAGTCGAAGTTTGCCGTTTTGAGGCCTGCCTGGCTAAAGGGAGACACCTCCTGCGCCGGTGATGTCAGTAAAGAAAAAAAAAGTTAAGAGCTTCAAAAGTGGATTGGGATAGTCCTATAATTATATTATTTGATAACTAAGCTTATCATAGCAGAGCTAGCTAAAATAATTTAATATGTTTTGTGCGAAACACTTGTATGTTTTTATATGAATAAATATTATTTCATATTTATATCTATTTATTTTAAAATAAAAAAAATTAAACTTATTTACCTAATCCTAATCAAATACCAAACATTGAAATAAAAATGTTAGTGGCTCTTTAAAACCTGGAACTTTTTGTAAATTGTTACTTTTGGATCTTCCGTCTCAAAAGGTTGCCGACCCCTGATATATACTTATCTATATTCCATTTAAAATACAAACAAATGTGCATGGTAGCAAACAGGCCCTTTTATGCACTAGCGAAAACACGTTGTAATTGTAAACATAAACTGCGCTGTTGAATAAATACATGTAGTACACTACTGAATTCTAGTTTTAGCGCTACTGTCATAAAACATGTCGCAACCACCGATGGTTGCTATAAAACACCACAACTAACGTCACCAAACTGGAAGACAGTACAGAAATACCAGACAGAACACGTTTTATGTTTTTCATGGTTTTCTTATTTTAAATTTAGCAGTGAGCCATCTTATGCTTCATATATATATATATATATATATATATATATATATATATATATATATAAATCATATAAATCTAGAGATTATTTTATACACAGGAAAGATTTATACCACCTAGTAGAATACACGTAGACCAGCTGAACAAACATGTGGACCACATTCTTTATAATAGCCCAGTGTATCATTACACAAGGTTAGTTATGTGTCGTAAGTTATATGTTACGTTCTATTTTAATAAGTAGACACGATGCAGCCAATGATATAGGAAATATTTAATGTATTAATGTACAGCATTTAACAGATATGAAATAAGCACTGCTATACATCATCATTTATTACAGGATATCGTATGTATATGAAATACATTTTATCTGTATGACTGAACACGGCATATCAATGAAAGTAATGCCAACCGCCTTTAATTACCCTGAATATAATGTAGGGCTTACAATGTGTTTTCTGTACCCTTAGTCCAGTCAATCGACCAAATAAAACAAACAGAGTATAAAGCTGTAGTTTGGAGACCCCTGATTTACATCACTGGACACGGCATGTCAATAAAAGTAATGCCAATTGCATTTAATTCCTCTAAATAACATGTAGGGCCTACACTGTGTTTTCTTTACACTTAGTCCAATCAAACAACTCGGTAAAACAAACCGAGTATAAAGCTGTTGATGACACAAACTTGACCACGCTGCCCGTCTATGAAGAGTTTAACCAAGTCAGTCTTTTGTCCTGCGCCTCACGTTGTTCAAGTTCCAACAAAACGTGCTACAGCTACATCTACAACCAATCCACAAGACATTGTAGCTTGGGTATGTTTATATGTTTTACGTGTTTGTTTTATAATATGACAATCTTATCAAAAGTGTTCTATTTTATAATACTTTTAAAGTGTCGCTTACACATGAAATCTATATCATGCATACAGTCCTTAATAGAGATCACGAAAAAGAAAACAAGTTGTCCTGTGTATGATTATTGAAAAAATATTGTTTCACCGTATTGTAATAGTTATAGGGCTGGTAAGTAGGTCACTAACCAGTTCTATGGCTCATGCAGGTTTTATTGAGCCCTATTGTGTGCGGCGATACTGCAATAGTTTTAGCGACAACGGAAATGTAATAGTTCAAGTAGCTACGTTACTTTAATAGTCCTATTGAATACGATATTGCAATAGTTCTCGTGGTCGACACTACTTTAATATTTCTAGTGTTCGACACTACTGTAGCGTACTTGTGTACTACAGCACTGCAACAGTTAAAATTTACGACCACGGTGTAATAGTTCCATTACTTAGGACATGAGTCAAAACCTCTAACTTGTCTAATATTGAAAAAGTAAGTTCTTACTTCTTATAACTGATCCTTGAACAAAGTAGGGAAATTGCATAGGGTATGTAATTACCTCACACCTACTGTTGATAAAATTAATTTCAAATTCTAAAAACAATTGCAGTGTCGGACATCCTTAATGTTTTTATTACTGACGGAAAAATCGATAAATAGTTGACACATTTTCAAAAAAGTGTAAAATATTTTAAAAAGTGCATGTGTTAGGAAGATTGAACAGTGATGCAGAAAAAAATAAAATAATTGCTTTCAAAGTAGAAGAGTTCCTTTAAAATCGAATCAGGAATCAAAGTAAATGACCTCTTATAATTAGGAAATGATTAAGTTTTTTGTAAACTAATTCACTTTAAAAACAAATTTAGTGTATTGAGTTACCCAAACAATCACTTAATAGATTTTTTAAATTTAAAAAAACGAACATTGACATGCCACTCATATAAGTCCCCGTGTGTGGCAGCTCTATGTGTACTGCCCCCTATGTCAATTGGACAGACGCTTTAACAATTTTTGTTCTGCTAATCCTTTCAACTGATGGAGTCAAATGTTCTTAGATAACTGAAATAGGACGTTTGGCCAGCCTTCCCTTGGCTTTTCATACGTAACTACACAAAATTTAATATTTACTTGACTTTAGTGTTGCTAGTTTGAAGAAAAATAAATGCGAATATAAGAATTGTGATAATCATAAATATGTTAGGTGTAATGTGTGTAAGGAAAAACAAGCTGTGTGGGTACTGTGTGGGGTGGTGTTGTGCGAGTTGACTGTTTGCTATCTGGCGAGGGACAATTACCCCAAACATAAAAAATTATTTCAATGGAACTTGTGTTCTGTCGTTATACTCCGGATAGGGAGTGGAACATTACCATAGATTTGCCACAGGTCTAACACGTTTTATAAACTAGTGTACGATATATAGGCCTACCAACTTAATTGTCAAATTAACTCACCTCATTTTTTAACACTCACTACCCGCCACCAATATCTCAAAATATTTTTTTCTATTGAAATGTATTTAAATGTAATATATCCGTTCTTGCTCCCAAAATGCCACTTTACTTGTTATAATACGTGTTGTTTAATTAAGAAAAGTGTAATTTTACATGACAACGAACGCATAATAACATTGAAGGATAATGCAAGAAATAAACTACTTTTATTAAGTGTGTTTACCTAGATAATCAACCTATGTCCTTCATTTAATGTCACGATATATATAAATACATTCTCACAATATATTTCAAGTTTGGTTTGATATAACAGGTTCCTGGCTAGTCCCATTGAACACGTCAGACACAAATGTTCAAGGAGAGATATGGTCTACTGGAAAGTTCTGTAACACAACCAGAAACATCACAGTCCTGTCTGATGGTTCCATCTCAGAAAATGACTTCCAGTTTTGCACAGGTAATGTATTTATGTAATCTTTTTATTATTTGTTGTGTCTCCATTTGAATATTGAAGTTTCATCATTTCACAAAGCATGTTTTCTAAATTTAAAACAACTAATATAATGCATATACCTCAGTGCTTTGCTATATATATCTTTTCTATTGTGTAGTTCTATGGTGTCCTCTCACCCATTCTCTCCAATACTCTATTAAAAACTTATGAAATAAAAACGACATACTTTTTAAAGGCAAGCGAGGACTATGTATAGGAGTAGACAGTAATGACCCTTGACCTTTGGTGAACCTAACCTCTGAACTTCAGGTCATGTGTGACACAGTGACTGACGGTGGAGGATGGACCATTTTTCAAAGACGTGTTTCTGGGACTGTAGATTTTTTCAGGAACTGGACGGAATACAAAATTGGGTTTGGTGATTTCAGTTCAGGTAATTTTTACCTGGGTAATGAAAACATTTATCTCTTAACGTCAAACCGTCTAACAGAACTTAGAGTGGATATGATCTTCAATGGGACAAAATATTTCGGCAAGTATTCCAGCTTCAACATTTCTAGCGAGGCAGACGGCTTTAGGCTACACGTGGGAAACTTCACTGGAAATGCTGGTGATGGTCTAGCCTACCACAATGGTAGGATGTTTTCAACGTTTGACCGCAATAATGGCAATGCTGGTGGAAACTGTGCAGCTGACCGTCGCGGAGCGTGGTGGTTTGGATACTGCGATAACTCTCATCTTAACGCTGGTTGGGGTACAAGATTTGTATACTGGTATTCCATGTATAATGAATCATTCAGTGAAATGAAATTTAGATCTGTTTAACGTCATTATAAGTTTAAATCTTCAATGAAGAATTAACTATGCTGCTTATTTTTCTGTAGCGAATATATACGCTATTGAAAGCTTTGTAATCTTTAAATTTTCTGTTATGATAATCTTTTGCTTTAATTTATTTCAAGTGAAAGAAAAAAAAATGTTAACGGGTTATTCCGTTATTAAAAAGTTGTATGTTGTTATTATACAACTTATAGACATGCATATATAAATTAAAGTATGTATGTGGATATGTATTTTGTTCATTACCATTCATCGATTACGATGTAATATGGGAAGAATACTCCTGGGAAGGTTTCTTCTCCACGAGGGCAACAAAATTATAATAAGTGATATTATTAAATTGGCCGAACCTAGCCGCAAAAAAGACACGCATGCGCAATGGAGAGAAACTACCGCCTTCATTCGTAACGCTGTGTTCGATGGTACTGGGCATGTGTGTGTTTACAAACAAACCGCAGAACCCTAACCCTAACTCTAACGCTAACCCTAGCGCAGCTATTAAGGTCACTGCGCAGAACAATCGCGTTTCGTAATTTCTGCCGAAACATCTTTTTTCCTAATGGTCACTTGGTATTAAATTTTGAATAATAAAAGGAAGCTTTGATTTTTAATTGAAAATTAAATTACATTGGTTATTTCCCTTTGTTAATATTGGTGTGACTTTATGAAACCTCGACCTATTACTTTTAAGCATTTTTATCTGTGATAGGGAGGGTGTGGGGAGGTGGGCGGTTCATAAATTGTATTGTTTTTCATTTGTCTAGATGGTAAACGTGCCAATAGTTAGTGTGCTGTTGGGTGACACGAATTTCCCGCGTCTACCTAAATGTGGTCAGTTGGTTGGTCGCCCAGTATAGGGGCAGGTCGCGTCGTATACCAGGGTATCCTCGTTCCACGCGGTCAGGTGGCCAATTAGCACCTTGTCATTTATATTTGTTACAAAGATTGCCCTACAAGAGGGATTTGTCAGGCCACTATAATCTATTCCCAAACCATAATATAGTGGCGCCAGGTTGGTGTCACTTCAGTAGTTCTACCTGTTGCTCCCAAAAGAGCAGGCGTCTCTTCTTACACCAGAACGGTCGACGACGGGTGCGGAGGGGATTAAAGTACATTGAAAGTTCATGTTGTTTTTTCTGATGCAACAACGACAGCGATATGTATAGACAGAACATTAGGTCACGCGTATAAAATTACGTGATGGTAACATTTGAATCTAATATATAAAGCTCAGTTCTGTAACGTGTGGCAAAAAACAAAAAAGTTTGTCGTTGACACTTCTACGGATTTAAGTGTTAGATTTTTTATCGTGCTCATAGTCTAAATTTACGAGTCAAAAAATTACCATTGAAAGTCTTTAAAAACAATTTTCACTCTATTTACTTAGAAGAAGAATTTTCAATTATGAACGCGACATAAAATTTTTAAAAAGTGTATCGACGTTTATAAAATTTCTAAAATTGTGTCGGAAATGTATTGACTGCACAGTTACTTCCCTTTAATAAAAAAAAAATTCTTAAGAAGAAAAAATTTACATTTTATTATTACTTTGTTTTTGGTGTTAAGAAAAAAAAATAATTACATAATTAGCGGGGATTGATTAAGTGCAATGTCGTTAGGTATTTTTAACACCGCCTTTTATTTATTCTATACACTGAACATACTGTTCAATAATTTTTTTTTAAATCAATAACATTTAATAAGCCAGGTCCTACAAATCCTATATGTTTATTTCTTTCCATTTACGGATAAGCTTGGAGTATTATCATTTTTGTTCACTAAATTGAAACAGGCGCGTCCGCCGGCGCCCTTGCACGGTTCGATTTGGCACCCTGGGCTATCATGTGAGCGCTATGCTGCATAATTTTGTTTTGAACAGTGCGATAGACTATGGATAAGAAAGGTTACTATAGTCTTTAAGTGAATCAAATCCGGGCGTCCTCCGGCACCCCGACAGGGTGCTATTTGGCGCCCCGGGCCTTCCGGTGTACGCTATGGTATCTACGTTCGCGTGAGTTCAAAAGACTATGAATAAGTTATGCACTATAGGCGTTTACTAAGTTCAATCAGGCGGTGACGTCATGGTGCGTCCTCTGGCGCCCAGACAGGGTGCTTTTTGGGGTCCCGGGCCTCCCGTGTTCGGTTTCGCGCCTACGTTCATTAAAGTGAGTGCAAAAGGCTATGAATAAGTTGGGGTACTATAGTCGTTTATTAAGTTGAAGCAGGCGATTCAGCCCCGTGAGCACTTTGCGTTTATATTCGCGTTAGTGTTTTCTTTGTGTTTAGGTTGGGTTTGCGTTAGTGGTTGCGTTTTGATTTGGTTCGTTTTTGTTCTTTCTTTTTTCGTTTGTGTTTTATTTTCATTGGGTTTGTGTTTGTGTTTGTGTTTGAGGTTGGTTTTGCGTTTGGATTTGGTTTGTTTTCGTTTGTTTTTTCTTTTGTGTTTTTTTCTTTGTGTTTGTGTTTGTGGTTGGTTTTGTGTTTGGATTTGGTTTGTTTTCGTTTGCTTTTTTCTTTGTGTTCGTATTGGTGTTTGTGTTTGTGGTTGGTTTGTTGTAAGTTTTTGTTTTCGTTTGTATTTGTAATTGTGTTAGCGTTATGTTTGCGTTTTGTTGTTTTGGTTTTGGTTGGTGGTGGTTTGGGTGGGCAATGCCGGGTTTATGATGATTACTAAACACACAGGTGATGGTCTTTAACAGAAGGGTTTTTCACAGAAGCCAGAGCAGGGCCTGGCCGGGACGGCTAGTCTAATATATAAAGCTCAGTTCTGTAACGTGTGGCAAAAAAAAATTTGTCGTTGACAGTTCTACGGATTTAAGTGTTAGATTTTTTATCGTGCTCAAAGTCTAAATTTACGAGTCGAAAAATTACCATTGAAAGTCTTTAAAACAATTTTCATTCTATTTACTTAGAAGAATAATTTTCAATTATGAACACGACATAAAATTTTTAAAAAGTGTATCGACGTTTATAAAATTTCTAAAATTGTGTCGGAAATGTATTGACTGCAAAGTTACTTCCCTTTAATGAAAAATAAATCCTTAAGAAGAGAGAATTAACATTTTATTACTTTGTTTTTGGTGTTAAGAAAAAAAAAATAATTACACAATTAGCGGGGATTGATTAAGTGCAATGTCGTTAGGTATTTTTAACACTGCCTTTTATTTATTCTATACACTGAACATACTGTTCAATAATTATTATTTTTTTTTAAAATCAATAACATTTAATAAGCCAGGTCCTACAAATCATATACGTTTATTTCTTTCCATTTACGGATAAGCTTGGAGTATTATCATTTTTGTTCACTAAATTGAAACAGGCGCGTCCGCCGGCGCCCCTGCACGGTTTGATTTGGCACCCTGGGCTATCATGTGAGCGCTATGCTGCATAATTTTGTTTTAAACAGTGCGATAGACTATGGATAAGAAAGGTTACTATAGTCTTTAATTGAATCAAATCCGGGCGTCCTCCGGCACCCCGACAGGGTGCTATTTGGCGCCCCGGGCCTTCCGGTGTACGCTATGGTATCTACGTTCGCGTGAGTTCAAAAGACTAAATAAGTTATGCACTATTGGCGTTTACTAAGTTCAATCAGGCGGTGACGTCATGGTGCGTCCTCTGGCGCCCAGACAGGGTGCTTTTTGGGGTCCCGGGCCTCCCGTGTTCGGTTTCGCGCCTACGTTCATTAAAGTGAGTGCAAAAGACTATGAATAAGTTGGGGTACTATAGTCGTTTATTAAGTTGAAGTAGGCGATTCAGCCCCGTGAGCACTTTGCGTTTATATTCGCGTTAGTGTTTTCTTTGTGTTTAGGTTGGGTTTGCGTTAGTGGTTGCGTTTTGATTTGGTTCGTTTTTGTTCTTTCTTTTTTCGTTTTCGTTTGTGTTTTATTTTCATTGGGTTTGTGTTTGTATTTGTGTTTGAGGTTGGTTTTGCGTTTGGATTTGGTTTGTTTTCGTTTGTTTTTTCTTTTGTGTTTTTTTTCTTTGGGTTTGTGGTTGGTTTTGCGTTTGTATTTGGTTTGTTTTCGTTTGCTTTTTCGTTTGTTTTTTTCTTTGGGTTTGTGTTTGTGGTTGGTTTTGTGTTTGGATTTGGTTTGTTTTCGTTTGCTTTTTTCTTTGTGTTCGTATTGGTGTTTGTGGTTGTGGTTGGTTTGTTGTAAGTTTTTGTTTTCGTTTGTATTTGTAATTGTGTTAGCGTTATGTTTGCGTTTTGTTGTTTTGGTTTTGGTTGGTTGTGGTTTGGGTGGGCAATGCCGGGTTTATGATGATTACTAAACACACAGGTGATGGTCTTTAACGGAAGGGTTTTTCACAGAAGCCAGAGCAGGGCCTGGCCGGGACGGCTAGTGACATCATAAAGAGTGTAATGGAAACATTTGTTCTGAGATCGCGTCAGTGCGCGTGAAGAGTAGGCTACACTAGTTCTTTGTAATAGACAATTTTTTTAAAGTTACAAAAACAGAACTTTCGTACAAGTTTTGTTTTGTTTTATGTACCGTTAGAGCCAACAGAAAAATAAACCGGGAGTGATCTCCCCTAAACTTTCTCGAATATTCTTATATAAAATAACAGGGGATGGAAACTCGGGCTATAGACATGATTTTTAATCCATTTTAAATACTTAAAGTTTTAAAAATAGAATAAAATCTCGTAGACAAATTAATTGCACACCAAGTGAACGCAAATAAAAAAAGCGCATAATAGTGCGCAATATTATTAGTACTTTTAAAATTTACATTAGTTTTTTGAGAAATCGGAAGTAGCGTAAATTACTACTTCCAGTCAACGGAAATTACTCAAAAATTAACAGAAGGTAGAGAATTAGATCTTTTACTTACATGTGAAATTTCATTTATCTATCTGAAATAGTACTCAAGTTATAGGCTTTTAAAAAATTCAAAGTAGGAAAAGTACCACTTCCGGTTATCGGAAATCGCTCAAAAGTTGATACGGATCTACGATTTTGATAAAATACTTATATA